GCGCATCGTGTTTTACGTGGAATTTTGGTTGAGAAAAATGCATCAGAATGCTGAAATTCGTGCCTTGTCTAGTGGTCCATTGGTTCCATTGGTTTTCTCTTGAAATTTTCGTTCCGAAGCACCCCTTAAAGTTTAAAATGTGACGAAATAAACGGCGAAATTTGCGATTTTAGCCAAAAATTTCATGTCCGACGTCTCTGATTGAAACGACCCACTGTGCACCCGCGAGCCTGGCCGTATGAACCGCCCGCCACTGCACTGCATCAGCCCCAATGAGTGCAGCGTAGAATATTCAAGTCCATCATTTCCGCTAATGCTCCTCCCCTCCCCCCCACCCCCGCCGCTGTCCTGGGCGAGCGGGAACACGCTCTCGACCGTGCGAAAATATGCGCTTGCATACCCAATAAGGCGCGGCCGCACACTGGAGTGGTTAACTGTGAACGGCGGCGATTCCAGCGAGTTGGACACTCTGTTAATATTTCATTTCAATCCACTGAGAATATTGATTTTAGGTGCTGAGGTGTGCTGCCTTGCTAAGAATCGATTGTTTTTATATCAGTGGCGTGGCTCGAATTGCGATACATCGATAGTTATGCCATATAAACCTATGGTAAAGAATCGATTATTAAGGTGTTCGCTGCGAAGACCCTGTTTATCGATCCTTTTCCATGGGTTTAAATGATGGATCAATCGATACATCGCAAAGCACGCCGCGCCACTGTTTTATATGCATTTAAATGGAGTAAAATTCCAACTTGCAAAATTGCCACTGGCTGTGAAACCCGGCCAAACTTCAAATGGACTTTTGGAGGAAACCAATAAAACCACTTTTAAGACCTCAAAGTTTCGTATAAACGGAGTTATAAGCGTTTAAAGTTTCCGAATTCTGTCCTACCTCTCCTATTGACTCGATCCACTGTGCGCCGGCGCGCCATTGATAACTCCTTCCCTGGTAAGTGCAATAGAACATTCGGAAAATTCCGAGTCCTCATCTGGTGTAGTAAAAGGGAAGATGCCGCTTGGTAAGAAGACGCGCAGTTATAATTATAAAGGTTTGACCTTGGAATTACTGAGATGATGGCATTTCAGCTCCATATGCATTGATGAAGGAGTTCGGTTAAATTGAAACAGGCTACAAAGTTGGCTCCACCATAATTCCTTAAACGGAGGAATAAGTCTTGAATTTAATACTGGAGTGCGCAAAGCGATCCAACGATGTTATAGGGGGTAATTCGAGATGCTCATGAACATAAGGTATACGAGCACTAAAATAATGAAACATGACGAAATATTCTGAACTTCAAACCGGGAGGTATCAATTTATCTGCTTCTGAACCTTACTCCAGAGTTGCCATACTGCGAAAAGGTCCCCTACTTCCGGAATACTTCCGTAATAAATGAAATAACAAAATAAGACTCAATGTTACGGCAACGTAACCCATTACGTGCTTCATTTGAGTGAAGTTGACAGAGCCTCTATTCTTGGCGGAGTCATTGTTGCTTAAATTTCAACGTTGATGACTGCTTTCGGAGCGGGGGCCTTATCATTCGATTTAAACGTCATTAAAGCGGATGTTATGCCTTTTCCTATGGCATTTTTAGTGGTAATTAGTGTTATTTACCGATTTTTCTATCCCTCTCTCCCTTAATGCTATTCATGGAGTTATTTACAAATACGTTATATCGACCGCATTCATGGTTGTTCCATATACAGTTCATTTCCTTGGGCCGGCTCCATATAGGTCAACATTGTGTTGACTGGCGGATCAAGCAAATTGGCAACATTGTCTTTTCTCAATTTAAACCCTGGAAATGTCTCGATCCTTTGAGGGGCTAGGTGTTCCAACAAGAATCGATTATTTAGCATAAGTTTAAATGGAGGGAATTTGGTGTTGCCAAATTGCTGGTTACGCCTCTGACTGTGTTTAAAGGAGGTTTAAGGAGGCCGCATGCCACATAACCATGAAAAAGACGATTTTTATGAATTTCGAGTGAAATTCAAAGGTGATACTTTCGTAATATATCTTTGCAAGGGATTGTGATGATTTATCACTGCAAAAAATACAAAATATCCAGAACAAAAAATAGGAAATCGTTTTTCCATACATCAGTAGGATATCAGTAGTAGCTGACGGAACATCTAGCTACTTTTAATAGATGTGAACCCTTGAGGCTGCTTGTAGGAGTTAATATTCCAATGCAAACTGCCTGAGCTGAACACTCTCCCCCTCAGTTTCGTACTGGTGCGGATTAGAGTTCAAATAATTTATTTTCCGACTCTAATTTTAATTTTTGGAACTTCTTAGCTTTGTTTCCCCGCGAAATGGTGTGGACCCAGCACCATTTCTCCACCTTGTTACAAACAGTTCGGGCCACTTCTTAGTGTTTTATTTATTATTTTTTTCAATTGTAGGAGTTGTAGACTACTGTTACGGCAGGTGAATGAAAGTAAGGCGCCTTCATATTTTCAAATAGGCAAATCTAACAACCTTGGCGCTAGTGTAGTTGCATGCTGGCGTTGTCATCATAGTTTCACCTCAACCGCAAATTAATCGATTAGAATCCGACGTGGCAATTTTCCGAAATTAACGCTTTAGCTGTCCTAGATAAAACTGTTTTTCAGCTTTCCATACACCTTTCGTTAGATTATACCACGAGAATTTTCTCATACTTTTTCTTTATCAATTTCTTTCGGCATGTTCTTTGATAATTTTGTGTGTGATGATCGCGATTTAACGAGAAATGGAATACGGCGAGGACATGGAAATTTCAACATTTTCAGGCAAAAAATTCAAAAATCGATCACAATTTGAGTTTCTACTGAAGTCCTTTCTTCCGTAAACGGTCGACAATTTCGTCGCCCGTCCTCTCATTTTCATTTTACGGCACTTCTGTCAAATCCATACCCTACATACTTAGAGATCCACATTTTATCACACTTTTCGAAATTCAAAGACAAAAATATTAGGGAACACATTTTAGTCTCAATAAATTTCCAACGACAATAAAAAATTACGAAGTTGTCAATCATCTTGGTGGTTTTTTCGAGACAATCCACAAGAAGAGAGGGCAAAAATTAAGGAACCAGAAAACAAAGGGAATTGTAAATCGTCTCGGGACCAGTTCAGGGTGCCTGCAGAGTATTTACGACGAATAGCCCGATCCACCTCATTTTCTTATCCTCTCCTTCCGCCTTTTTTCAGGCAGTTTATTTCCATTATTTACTCCCTTTGTTGAGGAGATATAATTTTTGAGGAGGGAGAAAAAAAATGGGGAAGTTTTTCGCGGGAAGATTTTATAATTTATGGTTATTTTCTTATTTTCCACGTTACTTTGCCGGGACGGTAACTTTGCTCTTGACACTGGTGATGAATTGTTCCTGCATGACGCATGTGGTGGTGTGCGAAGTGCATACATCCGAGCGCATGTCTCGATGAATTTATTATTTTCATCTCGTCCGTTTTCTCCCGCATTTCCGGAGGCAGCCGATATGTTTTGATCATTCTTGTTTGCTTTCTCCACGTAAACAGTGCACTCATCACATTACGTTCAACCATCGTTTTGATATAATGCTTTTAGCGATGACCTACATGACGATTGGACCGGGAGCTCATCGTTCATCATTTGCCAAGATATGAGGAATACGTTATATTTATTTTGTAAAAAAATTAACGGAACTGAAACAGAACTTTTTATTGAAAAAAAGAAGCTGCTCCTTTAGGGCCGTTTCTCAAAGAGTGAGCCAGATGTTTTTGAAAAAGTTCAGTGTTAATTCGCGTAAAATCGATGAATCACGATTATTTTTAAGTAATAAAATTGTACTTAGGAATCATAGGATAAAACCAATGAAACCACATTTAGTTATTTCCGTTTCCTATTATCAAAGATATAAGCTACCAGAGTTTCCAAATTTTGTCCGGTCTCTCCCATTCTCGTTCCTCTGTTCATCATTCGGAAGTCTGCCTTTATCATTTTGTCTAATAGTAGTGAGTACTTACTGCTTAAGGGTCGGGCAAACTGGTGAAGCATCCTCAAAAGGCCAAGGTAACTGGCTATTACCATCGTCCACCCTTAAGTTAGACCGTGCCAGGGTGGCAAAATTTCATGAAAAATAAAGTGTTGACATTTTACGTGATATATTTCATGAAATTTTAAAAATTTATGAAAGATATTGAAAAAAGGTCGGTTCCCTTTCACGTTTTGCAAAATGTAAAAATTACGACTTTCTTCTATTTTTGTGTGTTTGAGTGCGGGTTGCATACTCTAGAACCTGGAAAATATGGAATATTTCACAGCCTTGTGAAATTTCATGAAGTATATCACTGAAATTTCCAATTTTTCATTTCTTTCTTACATTTCATGCCATCCTGGACCGTGCTTCTGATGTAAATCTCATGATACTTCATCACATTTTCCGCGGGGCTCAGCGGCCGTCTAGTAGCCAACGGTAGGCCTTATCACGACTGTGACAAACGCTGCAGAGCGCGGATGATTGGAGCACGGCCATGGCCCCACCGAGTTGGACTGTGTTGTTTCAATCTCTACTGACAGGTAGTGCTGGCAGTCGCGCACACCACGAGTGATCAACGATTTTTTCACAGCCCAGCCGAACAGAGCAAACTTACTGGGTGACTATGTCCATTGCTCCTCCCACACCCCGTGTCTCGAACGGTCTAGGTGTTGGAATGACGTAGTCTTCCCAGGTTACGATAACTGATATTCGAGTGTCCTCAAATAGCAGTCCCATCCAGGGATTGAACCCGGGACCTCAGTGTTGGTAGCGAACGTATGCATGTAAAAGTCACTTTCAAGGAGCGCTAGGGCGCTCTGCGACGCCTACTCGCCACAGGAATCTGTCATGGAAGAGATCCTCCGGAAGGTGGCATCCCTCCATCCCCTCACGGATACATACAGCGAACATAATATTGTCTAATTTGATCATGTTATCAGGATGATGGGAGTGGAGACTTAAACTAGCTTTCAAAGAAAGATGTACTCACCGACGAAGGAGTAGAGCGGAGTGAAGGGTACGGCGAGGACGCAGAGGAGAATATCCGAGAGTGCCAGGTTGGTGATGAAGAGGTTGGTGACGGTGTGCATGGCCTTGTTGCGGGCGACGACGAAGCAGACGAGGACGTTGCCGAAGACGCCGAGCACGAAGATGGTGATGTAGACGAGGTAGAAGATGGCCTGGACGATGGGGCTCGTGATGAGGTCGTTGCGCGTCGAGTTGAAGAGATCCTCGGCGATCTCCGTCGACGACCAGTTGTGGTGGCACAGCTCCCAGAGCTGCTCCGAGCAGTTCCCCGCGGCCACGCAGCCGCAGCTCAGGTTCAGGTGACGGTTCAGTTCCCAGTAACTCGTCATGATCGCCTCCAGCTCGTAGACGTTCATCCTGGCACCGCACGCAACTTTCTCGCTCGCCGCAGGTGCTTATTTTCCGCCGCCCATCACCTGTAACAACCGACCCAGGCTTTTATTTGGACGTGAGTCTGCCAAACGGAACTATAGACGAGTGGGAAAGATGAGGTGCGCTCGTTGAGGCTGCACAAGAAACAGTGTAAAATTGTGCGTGGTTTCCTCTAGAGAAATGGAAAAGCGGAATTTTACATTCTGTCAAACTGAATGCGGCACTCATGAGCCATGAGCATAGGAAAAGAGCCTTGTGGACAGGGCTGATGAGTTAATGCGGTGGAAGGGCGACCACGGCGGTGGCTTCGTCGCCGCTGACGTCACTGGCGCTTTATAATGCTCATTCATTCTCACGGCCCTAGACTAACGAGCAAACCTCTTCTTTCCCACATGTCTCGGGTTCCGTTTCGCAAAAATACGTCCAAATAATGTAAAAAGAGTCTTTTTCATTTAATTGTTAGGCTAGTGTTAGACAAGACATCTGTAAGTGCTATCTTTTGCACGCATTTTTTGTTTGGTTTTGGACACACATGAAATTAATTTTCAGAGTAGAAGTCGCCAGAAAAGGGTAGCATTTCAGTTAATTTCTGTGTATTTTTATAAGAATTTTACGTGAATTTCAAATTCATATTGAATAAGTTAACCCAAGAGTTAACTCTTGGGTTTTACTTGCATTAGTAAAAACGGCCAAAGTAGTCAATAAAATGCCTAAAATTATGAACATGCATTACTGAAAGCTTCAATTACCTTTTGCACTCTCTTCCGGACGAATGTTCCGCGCACGAGAATGACCCTTTTTTCATCACTTGTCACCTCACTCAAATGGACGCATTGATGAAGGAATTTAGAACAACGGGAACGTTGACGACAATCTTATCCTTTCTTGAAGAAGGATGCGTCACGTTAGTACTGCAAAGGGTTCATCTAATTTCCCTGTGATGATCTTTCCTTGGTTTTTTGGTGTCTCGGGTGGCTATATCGTCCCATTTTTTGGATATAATTTTATTTTTTGCTCGGCCCTGAATCAAACAGGTATGCATTTGGTGCGGGGGTCGTCAAAATGGGCTGCGGTCATCCATACACCTGAAACAAACGAACATTGCTCAAGATTATAGAATCGTAGTTAATTCATAGAATTTTTGAAAGCAAACAGAACTACACTTGGTGAGATGACAACTTTCATTGAGAGAACATCTTGCCTTTTTGCAAAGGGCGGAACTGGGAATTTTTTGGTTGTGAGATAAGGGGGCAATGCACCTCATCAAGAGGATATGAAAAGCCCAGAAATATACACCATCAAGGAGTATCCAAGGCGATTTACATGGCTCAAGGGTGCGTCCATGGAACATTTTTGAAATTTGGATCGTCCTGAAAGAGCAATTTTGAACATTTTATACCAGAAATTGTATACATATACGACTTTTTAGAAAAAAAAAACCCTCTAATTCCTTAGAAAAAGTCAGCGCCAGCCCCCCTCCCATTCCACGTGAACCTTTTTGACGAGCTATCCAGCGAAGCGATAAAAAAAATCAATAATACATAATAATTTAAATAAAATCCAGCAATGCTTGATTTCTGAACCCATCTAATGGTTCACTCTTCAACAGTCGAAAAAGAAAGTTTATTTTGTTTATTGAGAGCGTAAAAATCCTAATTTAAAGCTCAAAAATAAGGAACAACTGAGGCGAGAGAATATTCTAATGTACGATCTCTATACACAGGATATGCAGCTCTCTCGTAATGAGAAAAGTTTCCACGGTAAATCCGATCGGAATCGATAATAATGCCGAATGAAATAACTGTCATCCATATGAAATACTCATTACGTATTAATTTAACGAGACCGCAAATATTTGAAGCCATACAAACTAATAACTCCAGAATCCTCGATAAAGTTGAATCAGTGGCGACGCGTAAATCATCAGCTGTCGATATTTCCCCATTTGAAGCTGCGGTAAAGAATCGACTATCAATTTGTTCATTTTGGATGTCCTGTTTATCGATCGTATTCTATAGGTTTAAATGGCAGATCAATCGATTCATGGCACAGTAGGACTTGTTAGGCTTTCACGTCGACTGATTCAGTTACTTCGAACGAGGCTCATCAAACAATCACAACGTACCTCAACCGCCAGCGTTTCGGCGACAGTGGGATTTCGATCGAAACTAAATGACGTCAAACGTTAAACCGCTCATTGTGCTAATTAAATCTTAGCGAGAGAGGTGCATTCTATGTTAACGCTGATTTATTTGCGCCGACGGTTTTATTAAGTCAACAAAAAACGACGATGTGCGAGTGGACCGGGGAATTCCAATTCTATAAGCGGTTTTCGGTTTTAATTAACTGCCCGCGCTTTAAATGAACCTGTCAAATGACATTGTTAACGGGACGTTTTCATGGAAATTTTTAACGGCTGCATCGCGTGTCATTGCGTTTCAGCCTCGTCTCCATTTTTGGTTTTTGCGTTTTTTATCTACCATGGAGTGTGAACATTGTTATGGTTGAATCATTATATTTCGGTTTTTTTTTTTCGTATGTACTTTATTTCAAACGTGAGGTAGGGTCGTAAAAATTATTCACGACTGACAAAGGACTGCAGTATAAGGGAAAAAATACTAATTTTTGGCGTTGAGGATTGCACAAATGGTACGGCTAGAATCCCTCGAATCGTGTTTTGCGTTTTTTTAAAGCTTCCTACTTCAAAAAGAATACTCCGGTATAGGTGAAAATTTCGTAAGAGGAGTCGCTCCATCCAACCCCCTTGCGCACTAGGACGGTGCACAATATTAATAAGGCTGATGCTTTCGCGCGTAAATCGTAAGGTAGTGCCAAAGTATTTATTAATGCAAGGAAAATGTAAATATTTGCACGCCGGCTGAAGAAATTCCGTCTTGTCACATGTGTTTTGAGGGGTTGGGGTTGGCCGTGTTAAAAATGCTCAGTCTCCTGATGCGTAAGGGTTGGATGGAAATACTTCCCTTACGAAATGTTCAAGTATGCCGTGCGAGAAGCTGAAAGCCCCCATTTTTCTCAAGCAGATTGTGAAGTTGGGAGTGTATTTTAGACTTTGATGCGCACATCGTGATCTTTGAGCCATTTTCTACATTACCTATTTTTTATATTAATTTATTTCCATAAAATATTACAAATGTTTGCATGTACAGAGGGGAGCCGCTTTACTTGCTCTACACCCCTCTGTGAACTGCTTAGTACATACACATTTTGTATATTGTCAATAAGATTAACTATATGTATACTTAGATATTACACTTCTTTACTAAAAGAAAGATACTAATAAACTAATTTGAGTTCGAGATGGATGGGTTACTAGAAGATTTTGATGTTCAATTTTCTTCAAGGCACCATTCTTCTTTCAATGAAAAAATGAAATTGCTGATTTAACAATTTTGTAGATAAAAAAAATGTCTGACGAGTTTCAATGTAGATTTTACAATAAAACAAATACTAATTTAATCATTCCCGTGGATAGTTTAGCTTTCCACTATGGAAAATGTACATCTGAAACGTGTCGGACATATATTTTTTAACAATTTAATTATTAAATTAGCGATCAATGTTTTCCGTGTTTAGTTCCAGCTGAAATTTGCGACAGGTCCATTGCAAAATGTTTTGTATTTAACAGAAGCTGAGGAAAACCAAGCTGCTCCAGTCACACAAGTAGAGTCTTGACGGAGTTTCGTTATACATGAAAAAGTTGGAGATAAATACTAATTTTAATTAAACGAAAGTAGAGGTTTATCGCTCCACTCGGGATTCCACGACCCTCGTGTGTTTTTGTCGTCGAAAAGTCCGGCGCTGATGAGGACGGTCGAGCGCGGCTGAAAAAGTCGTTCACTTCGAAAGCTCTGTTTGCTTATATCGGGTTTTCCATAGCTTGAGCTGATTGCGAGCTTTGGGTGCGGATTGAGCACGGATCGGGGCCATGCGAACGGCGCACAGTGGAACGAGCTAATAGAAAAGGTCGGACAAAAATGAAAAATGAAATTTATGGCTAAAATTTCAAATTTTTATTTTAATTTTGTCATAAGGGCGGTTTCACGATAACTGGAGTAGTGTTTTCGCCGTAACCGACAACATATTTTTAGTAATTATGATAATAACTCGATTTTTTTTGCATTAATCTACACAGGGTTACGTGTTGTAACGCTTTTCAAAGATTTATCGCTCTACTTTCCAATTTTCATATGGACTACATTTTGCAATAAGGAACCACTATTTTTAGCTCATTTCAGAAACAACAAATATGCTATAGGATTCCATATGCAGAAAGGTGCTTCTATGGAAGAACCAGAGATAGTGTTACCTTGTTGCAAAATGGACTGCATTTTGCAATTTGGAGCTATAAATTCTGTCTATCTGAAAAAACACGTATGAGCATTGGGAAACTAATGGCACATACGTTGTTTTTAAACCGGGCCAGAATTTATAGTTCCAAATTGCAAAATTCATTCCAGATGTAATCCATATATAAATGGTCGAATATGTGCTGTCTGTTACGCTGACTTTTTACCGCCTGTCAGACAGCACATTTTCGGCCATTTGTATATTAAAATTGGAAATTAGAGCGATAAATCATCAGAAAACATTGTCATGCGCAACCCTTTGAAGACAAATGCGAAAAAATTCGAGTGATTATCATTTCTACTAAAAATATGACCGAAAAATGTGTTGTCTGCTACGGCGACAAAACTATTCCAGTTATCGTGAAACCACCCGCAAATTAAATCTCAAGGGGTGTCTGGGAAGGGTGACTTCACGGAAAAACCAATGAAACCAATCCAAAACTTTTTTGTTTCATATTTTGAAAAATATAGGTTTTCAAAGTTTCCAGATTTTGTCCGACTTCTCCTTTTGACTCGATCCAGTGTGCGGCAAACGTGTTCCCGGATTACTCAGTATCAGAGCAAATACACAGGTGAACAGGCGAGGCTCCTAGCCACCTGCTCTCTAAAGATGATGTGCCGATCAGCGAGCCAATTGTTGAAAGTTTAAAGCAGAACGGTAAGGTATCGAAATGGGATGTACTGCAGGGTTAAGATAGGTCATGTCTTTTCTTAATGTATCGACATATATTCAATAATATGCGGCTGTGTTACCGAGGAGAGCAGGCAGTATTCTCCTGTAAAACATTGAATTGCCAGTTAAATTTGGCAAAACCAGATGTGGTTTAGTTCCTTTCTGCCAAACGCGAGCCAACTATGGTACCACAGCAAACAGTTTTAGCTAAATGATCAATCTGTTGAATTGAACTCGAGATTCATTAAAATAGTTATCTTGTGATGGGATGTTAGGGATCTCCTTTAGTCTCTCTTAGTATTACCTACGTAACGCACTTCTTCCGATTTTGGACCCCCCTCTCATCCTGTAACGTAACCGTAACGCAGCCTACACCCCCTTTTGAGTTACGTAACGCTTTACGTAACCCCCCTCCCTTTAAAAAAATCACGGACACACACCGAAAAGATTCGAACGGGAAGAGCTAGATTTTCAATTTTGGAAACAATATGGAAATGAGAAATTGATAGAGACGGAGGTGTTGTTATGGTTGCTCATTTTCTAAATGAAATGTTATTACTTTCTCCTTTTGAGTCATCTTTTTAAATTATCATTGGTGAATATTTGGTTTTATTTCTATCCTTAAAATATTCGATGTACAATATACCTTATATGTGTATAGGTCCTTTTTGTTTATTTTTTTAATTTTTTCCTTGCGAAATTATTACTTCATTTTGAAAACATTTATATTTTTAAAACGTGACAAATATTTGTAAAACCTTTTCCAAGCGACATTAATCTCAATGAGCCGCAGTTGTGCCGACAGTAACTGCAAAAATGAATAAAAAAGGAAAAGAACCAAGAAGCACGCAATCTTTGGTTTTAACCCATTTGTACATCGATCTTTTCGAGTCAAATACGTCAAATTTTGAGCGTTTGGTTGCGCGTACACCTCGCTGTAGCACAATAAAAGCAAAAAATGTGAAAGAAAAAATTAAAGTGCTTAGGAAATCATTAAATTTGACACGGAACCACCAATATTTAAAAAACACACATTATATCATTA